TCACTCAAGTTTGTCATTTGGTTGGTGTTCTGCCATCCACTCATGCTTCAGAACAGCTCCTTAAGGTATTGACAAGCACTCCTGTACTTCACAGAGATCCCCACATACAAACAGTAGCTTGGTAATTGTGAACACCTTTCACCTGCTCCTAAAATTCTTATGAAGTTTTCCAGTGCCTTATCTTCTCCTAACAATGTACAGAAGACTCAACTGGATGCCTTCGCCTTCTAAAATAATTTGTTGGAAACCACATTCCAGTGATTGAACTCAGGACCACTCAACCACTGAGCCACATCCCCAGCCCTATTTTGTATTTTATTTAGAGACAGAGTCTCACTGAGTTGTTTAGCGTCTCACAGTTGCTGAAGTTGGCTTTGAACTCGTGATCCTCCTGCCTCAGCCTTCTGAGCCGCTGGGATTACAGGCATGCGCCATCACACCCAGCTGGAAAACACATTCTTCACAAGTTTTTTAAAAAGAAAGTTAAATACAGTTTTGCTGAGGAATAATCAGTATCTTGTGGAGTGTGCACTGTTTGTAATATGATGGCTAAAATTTGTCTTTATATTTTGAATTTGTCAGATGGGGCATTTTCTGGTGAGCTGGGTTTGAGGCCCTTCCCCTTCATATAAGTGTATGTACAACATGATGGGAACTTGTATCACTTCAAACTTTCTTAAACTAAGTCTTGTCTCGTTTTATGATGGCAGGCCAGTGCTTCAGGAAGCATTTTGCAAGGTTGGTAATTACCTGCTCCCTTCTCAAATCCTTTATGGAACTGGAAACTATCGAATGTCTGTTGTATACACCTTCCAAAACATGAAGGAAGAGAAGAAATGTTAGCCAAAAACCCTTTTCGAGTATGTGCCCCTGTAAAAAGGGCTATGGATATGATTGATTGTAGGTAATTGTAAAAACAACAGTTCATTTTATGTGTTTGAATGCTGTACTCCCAGGATAATTCCCAGGACCTCTGTGGAAAGGATAGAACTACAGGAAGGAACTCTTCCTTCCAGGAATTCATTTATCATGCCATACTGACATGTAGAATTCCAGCATACAAAAATTAGTTTTAGTTTTCTTTTGTGCTTTCCATTGTTTCTAAATCACAGTAAGATCCTTATGGTCATCAAATATAGTATTTGTAAAATTTATTATATCTCAGATTATTTCAAAAGATGCAGTAGAGCTGTTCCCATTAAAGGACCTATGGAAGTTCAAAGAACTAAAAATTTTGACTCAGTAGGTTTAGGCCTGTGAGCTTGTATTCTTTGTTTATGAGTATTTTGAGTAGTGATTATGTATTAAATTATTCAAGAAAAAATAAACCTAACAATGTTACTAACTGTCTTATTAATAAAATAATCCCTAAATGTTGAATTCTAGTCTGACCAATGATAGTCTGAATAAAAGTCATACCTCTGATGTGGCTCAGTGGTAGAGCACCCATCTGGCATGCATGAGGCCCTTGGTTCAATCCCCAGCACCACAAAACAAACAAACAAACAAACAAAAAACCTGTCATTTGTCATCTTGCTTTGCTTGATATGTAATGAGGAAATAGTAATAACTTTCTTTTTATATGAATTTTTTCTTCATTCCATAGGAATGACCACTTCTAATCTATCTGTTTAATAATTTTCTTTTTTAGGGCATTAAAATGAAAAGTAGAAGGGAATAAATGAGAAAAGAATTCCCAACAAATGCATGGTATTTCAGTGTTAAGACCAAAATGTGTCCGGTCTTGCCAGTATCTCTTCTCTTGCCAGATAAGGTGAATACTGGGATTGCCACGCCATTTGGGGGAGCAGTGTAATTGTAGGAATAGCTTATGACTCCTAACAGGCCTCATCTCTTGGCCTCTTTTTTTTTTCCTTACAAATCAGTCATTTTATTTTATTTTACTTCATTTCTTTTTTATTGATTTTTTTAAAAAAATAAATGACAGCGGAATGCATTACAATTCTTATTACACATATACAGCTCAATTTTTCATATCTCTGGTTGTATATAAAGTATGTTGACACCAATTCATGTCTTCATACATGTACCTTGGATAATGATGTCTGTCACATTCCACCATCCTTGCTAATCCCCTGCCTCCTCCCCCTCCCTCCCACCCCTCTTCCCTATCTAGAGTTCATCTATTCCTCCCATGCTCCCCCTCCCTACCCCACTATGAGTCAGCCTCCTTATATCAGAAAAAACATTCGGCATTTGTTTTTTGGGGATTGGCTAACTTCACTTAGCATTATCTTCTCCAGCGCCATCCTCTTTTTCCATTGATGTCTTCACTAGACTGCAGATCCAGTTAGGGGTTTTTCCCCAGCAAGTCTGATAGAATCGTGGCTCTATTATCTACTTTCCAGTATCCCTTCTCTAGCTCATGTACTGAGAGCAGGAAGAGGCTGCAAACCTTCCATAGACTTCATTTGTTAATTCTTTCCTTGAATACCTACTTGGGACATTACACTGGCCACAGACACAATAGTAATAATCTGTCTTCTATTTCTTTGCAATTACAAATTATTATGTCAATCCTGATAAGAGGAGGTATCTTGCTGAAATAATGACAAGATTGATGATGCTCATAGATATTGGAAATTTTAAGTTAAAAAGTAATTAAAATTGCTATATTAAGTTGATTAAAGAAATTCAATGTAGCGATAAAAACATCGTGACAAGGGCTGGGGTTGTGGCTCAGTGGTAGAGTGCTTGCCTAGCACATGCGACGTTCTGGGTTCTATTCTCAGCACCGCATAAAAATAAGTAAAATAAAATAAAGGTATTATGTCCAACTACAAGTAAAAAATAAATATTTTTTAAAAAACAGCATGACAAATTTGAAATTTGTAGTTTTTATTGTAAAAAAAAAGAAAAAAGTTCAACTCTTATTTTCTTTATCTTCTTAAATTTGTATGAAGTTAATACTAAAGAGCTAAAAAGAAAAAAATCTAAGAGAAGGTACTTTAATGGGAATGTACTATGTATACTGGGAAAGAATTTTCAGAGTTTGTGTGGTGTCAAAAATATATTTATGATTATGTATGTAACCATTATTAGTTGGATTTTCTGTCATGAAAGTATTAAACTGTCTTTTTCTGATATGCCATGAAATACAGACTCAGCTAAAACACTCCTCTGTGCTGTCTTCATTACCAGCATAGTTCCATGAGTATAGATGCTAGGTCTTGTCTTGGGCCAGACCCCAGCACAGGGTGGGGACCCGATGGTTATTTGTTCAGTGCTTTGAATCTTAATATGTCATGCATCGGTATGATATTCTAGAGCTTCCACATTTTTACTCAGATTAGTTTATTTGACTATACTATCAAATTTGTGAGAAAGTACAAACATTGTATCATATGAATAAAATTGTAGTTCCAACAGAACTAGAGTAGAAGCAGGTCTCCACAGGCCATTGATTGTTTTATATCATCAACATTCAATAAATGCTTATTGTTGTTATGGGCCAGTCACTGTGTTGATTATCTTATCGAACCCTTGCATTAACCCTATGATATAATGCTGTGGGTATTTCTCTCATTTTAGAGATTAAGCAACTGAGACATGACACAGCTAGCTAGCTAAGGCAAAGCCATGCGGTTAGTGTCAACACTGGGATTTAGGCTCCAGCAGCACAGGTTCACAGCCAGGCTCTCAGTTGGCCTGGTCACTGCTCTTATGATTGTCAGTGTGACTACATGAGCCAAATTAAGTACCATGGGGATGTCCTGATGACTTTATTAAATTACTTGCTATTATTATAATAGGTGCTTGGTGAATGTTTGTGTAAGTTGATAAGCCAGAGATGAGTGCTGTTTGGGGGGGGGGGGTAAAGAGACAGTACCAGAGGGGGAAAAGGTGAGCAGGAGTGAGACACTGATGAGGAAGTCAGACAGGCTGCCAGGATCGTAAGAAAGGCAGATCATCAGTCTTCTTTTAGAGAATAAGGTAGCTCCCAGCTAATAGAGGATGACTCTGAAAAAAAAAAAAATCTATTGAAGGCAGCTGGATATTTGTGAGGTCAGGACACACCTACTGTCTTATAGAAGGGTGTACAGTCAGAGGAGAGACTGCAGTGCCGTTGTGACCAGGAAAGATTTCATTGGAACTTAGCAGTGTGGCTTTTAATGAATGTGCTGAGCTGTAGTACTAGCTAAATGTTTGGAAGTTCTGGGATAAAAACACCGTCTTAAGCTCTCCTCAATTACTTGTTAAGGAGTGCATCTGTCTTTGACTTGACTCAAGAATCTGTTGTAGTGCTGTGGCTGTGGCTCAGCAGTAGCACACTTGCCTGTCATGTGTGAGGCACTGGGTTCAATTCTCATCACCACATATAAATAAATAAATATAAATAAAAAAGGTCTATCAACAACTAAAAATATATTTTTTTAAAAAAAGAATATACTGTTGCTAATAACACATTAAACAAGTCTTTGCCTCTAGGTGAGTATAAAACTAGCAAAAGTTCCACTACCAACAAGCTACAGTTGGTGAGCATATGACCACCTATGCCAGGGGAATACATTGAAATCAAAATTGTTCTAAACACACATCGACTTACACAAGCAAAGCAGTACCATGATGAAGGGAAGGTGGAGCGGAATCATTAACATTATCCTTCGCCCATAAAATCCAAAGGCCAAACTTCCCGGGTGACAAAATAATAGAACACTGTACCCGGTTTCTCCTCAATTTTTCCAGTAGTTTGTTGGAGTGGCCTTGTGCAAGTTGCATCCCCAATAAGTCATTACTGCTGTGTTGGTTATGTCCTTCCTAAGGTTGAATTATAACTTGTATCTAATCATACTCCAGATAGATAAATTTACCAAATACTGTTTATATTTTTCAACTACCTGAGTTAAAATGTGTGTCTGATATATAATGGACATTGCTTCAGCTTTAATTCTACCTCCGTTTTCAGTTTGGTACTACGGAAGGTTATTCTCACATGCACCCCAAGTTGTGTTTCCTGACTTTCATTTTCTTTTCAATAGAACAAATCGGCCAGGAGATGTTGGAAAACCTCAGTCATGACAGAGAAAAGATACAACGAGCACGGGAAAGAGTAAGTACGAATGACACTATCCTTCTACATATCTAATAAATGAGAAGACATAGAAGGTCCTTGGGACATGCACAGACAAAACCATGACATAGACATAAGTAGAAATGACTAGGGAAAAAGGAACATAAAGTCTACTAGGAGGAAAAGGAAGGGTGCCAGATCCGGGCGAAGCAGCTGACTCTCCCCATCTGGAATGCCCACAGGGGGATTTTATTTAGCCCTCCGGCTGAGAAGAAGGTCATTGAGGGGGATTTTGGAATATGTCACTCTTTCAGTAAAAATCCTGATGATTCCGCCCTCTTTGCTTCATTTATTTCCACTTATATTTTTAGGAGTTGTACATTTTGTACATTAGAGATTGATTATCTCTAATGTATGTTAAACTTTGTCAGCTTTTGAGACATTTGCTTTTATATCCAGTTCAAGTATCCAGTTTAGAGCTCCTGACATCACTTCTCACATGTCACTTTCTAAATCTAAGAATTCTCAGAGTTTGCATAAGTGTCATAAATGTATTTGTGTTGTGTATATAAGCATTTTTCATTGTTTGGCTTTTATATCGTGAAATAAAATAATAGAAAATGATTGCTCACCATGTACTTTAGAAATAATCTAATCATTTGGAGTTGAGTTGAGTTTTAACCCTGCTCTTCTCCTCCTAGCTTCGGGAAACAGATGCAAACTTGGGGAAGAGCTCCAGGATTCTGACGGGGATGTTGCGAAGGTAAGAGCAAGGTAGGGACCGACCTTCCTCTCCTGTCTCTTTTGCTGTTTTTATCTAATTGCAAACAGGCATTTTACAGGCTTGCAAGCTTCTACTCCCTTCCCCTGTGTCTAGACACTTTTGAAATAATAGAGCGCTGATTGTAACTCTTATTTGGACAGGGACACATACTGAGTAACTCCTATTAGAGAGAAGGCTTGAGCTAGCGGGGTTACCTCAAGCTATGGAAAAATTAGGGTTAGACATGAAGAATGTTTTCATAGCCTGAGGAAGGCCCCATGGCAGGAACAGCCTGAGTTTATTTTCTATTTTGATGGAGGGAGCGCAGCCTGCGTCGGCAGGAGCTCACCTGGTCTCAGCCTGGCTCTCTCTTGCCTCGTTTTCATTTCTCTAAAAGGACTCCATTTGGGGAAACATTTTTATTTAATGTATATAATTCAAGATGATTTATAAAATGTCAATATTATCTGAATAATCTGAATTCATGTGTGCTAGCAAACAAATCTTTATGTTTTCTGTGTGTGACAAAACTTTGATTGATGGAAAATATTCGGGAGAGTATAAAAAAGATAAATGAATCAGAGTTGGTCATGTTCTATGTAAGTATTTTCAGCATGGAATGATTTTCCACTTGAGATCTACCAGGTAAGAGTATCATCTGGCACCAAGATGCCCATTTGGAACTGTGAATGGAAAAGTGAGTCACGAATATTGTAACTGATCTCTAGGAGAGCTTGATTGGAATGTTAAGGAAGAAAATCTTCATTATAGTTGATACTGAAGAAACAACTATTTCAAAATAACAAAGCCTTCCCTGATCATGTATCCATATACAGTAATTGCTAAAATTATCTCTTGTGTTGAAGATTTATTGTATAAGAAACTATTCAATGTACATTTGTTCCGCCATAAACGTTGATGTGATCTCTCAACCTGATCAGAAATGAGCCCAAAGTTCCCTGAGCACTGCCAGCCTAGTGTCCACATTGCTCCTTCTTTCCCTGGACACACTGCTCCAACTCAGAGCCATAACCACCAAATTATCTGATCAAGAATAGTAAGTAATGGGGCTGGGGCTGTAGCTCATCGATGGAGCGCTCGCCTAGCACATGTGAGGCCCTGGGTTCGATCCTCAGCACCACATAAAAATAAATAAAATAAAGTGTTGTGTCCAACTACAATTAAAAAAAATAAATATTAAAAAAAAAGAATAGTTAGTAAACGACTTGAGAAAAGCTCAAAACCTACAGAGAAGGGAACTGGTGATTGAAAGGAATGCTTCAGTGCCTAAAGACAATAAAAAAGAAAGAAAGGGAAAAAACCTTCACTGCTTTCCTGGGAGGGCCCCTGCGATGTGAGCTGTAACGAATATTCTGCATATGTCTCCATTTTGTCAAATCTCATTAAAGAGTCCTCCTGCTTTATGTCAATTGAGCTGTCCAGAAATCATTCATCATTTTTAGTGTAAAAAAATCATGTGGTTATTTAAATAATATCATATTAATGTTAAAGTTCAGCTGTCATTTAATGGTATGGCTTAATCAGATGTAGCATTTAGGGTAAATAGTTTATTCAAGCTCTTCGTGGCTTTCAGGTTGGCAGATTCAAATAAGGATTTATGGGTTTCTAAACCAATGTATTTCTGTCCATGTTTCTGCTTGATGTACCTCACCCTTTAGTGCAGGATACTGCAAACAGTTATTTCAACAAATAAAGCATCCCCTCATATTGTGTTTGAATAAATTTGCAAGTCATTTAGAGAGGGTGAAGCACAAACGACTTCTGCGACCGTCAGCTGGGCTTTCTGTAGGGACACGGCACTAATGCGATGGCTCAGAAGCCTGCAGAAGAAAATTACTCTGGTGAAATCTACTTGGGCTTCTCTTTGTAGGCAGACTCAGTCAATCTAGACTTATCTCCTCTCAGGATGTTTGTAGAGAACTCACAGGAATAAAATGCCCAATGGACATCACCTGCCTCTGTCTGAGCCAAAGCTCGTAAGTCCACCTGCGTGTGTGTGTGACAGTGTTTTTCAGTAGACAAGCTAGAATGTTGATATCTGCCAAGATTCCCAGGTACTTTTCATCAGTGGTGTAACCAGACTGAGTCTTTGCATAGTGGTAGTTTTGGTTTTGTTTCTAGTTGCTATCCCACATGACACAATTTATTTAGGACTTTGGAAAAATGAAAAAAACTAACCAGCTTCTTT